GTGGTTGAGGCAAGGTGAAATCATCAACTCAGACTCCACTTATCTTCCTGGGCTGCAATGCCTTGGTTTCCTCATAAACTGCTGCTGACCAGTGCCTGTTGGCTTTGCTGCTTCTCCCAGGCTTGACTAAACAGCACCCCTTCAACAAGAAAGCCAGCTTGCTACAGAAGGGTAGCCAATGAGGCTGAAGAGAGAGTGATTTCCGTCAATGGAAGCTGATTAGCTTAAACACAGCCATTGCTTGCTGGTGGAGCTTCGTCACCCCTCTGGCTGTCTTGAGGGGTTTGCAGTATTGGCCACAGGAGGTAGAAGAGACATTGTGTGCGATGGGTGAAGGGCAAGACCTTATTAGGAGAATCTCCCAGGAAGCAGGGGAAGGCAAACAACATTCCTTTATAATGATGAATTTGTTTTATTTCGCTTTGAGTATGTTCATTACAAGAGAATTGTGGAATGACTTTTTGCATTACTTTGAATATATATTTAAAAAAATAACAAAAAGGGGCCTAGTACCATTCCCAGCGGGATTTCTTTTATTTGTCTGAAAATGATACAACATTCAGAAATGGTCATAATCATCACTGGCATGGAATGGGCTAGCACAGAATAGCTTTCTCTGTCATTTAAAACCATATACGTCTTTATTTGTTGATTGGTAGCTACCTCTTCTTCGCTGGAAGGCTCTCTAATTCATAGTCTGGGACAGCAGGAGCTTTGGGCCCTTGCCCCAGCCTGCATCTATTGGTTCTGATGGAACAAGGTCTAGCCATTGTGGTTATCTCGTGGTTATTAATCTGATAGCTGCTTCCCAGTCATCCCAGCTAACCCCCCTGCCCCACATCCCTCATTTTCCTCTCTTATACTCTGAGCTGTGGCTACCCCAGGCTGCCTCTGCCTCCCCCTGGTCCTTTCTAAGCGATTTTCTTTCTAGAACAAGCTTGCCCGGTCTGTCCCCTCTTACTTGGGTCACCTGACTCATCATCTCTTTTCCAGCTTCCCTCCAGCACTGCTACTCTCAGTGAGAAGCAACTGCAGAGGGAAGGCTGCCTCCTGGCTTAAAGAGGGAAAAGAGACATAGTCTGAATGTTTGGAATTCCAGAAGTCCTGCAGTACCAGGTAAGGCCACTTCGCTATCTCTGCTGACAGGATGTGGCCCAGAGAGGAAGAGAGAGTGATAGAAATAGAAAGGGCAGAGCGAGATAACTAGAGGTGGTGCGTGAAGCCCCTGCGACAGCTCATGGGAATCCCCAACAGTCCCCTCACAGTCCGTCCAAATACCTCGACCCCCGTGACCCCAGAGACTCTGGCTGCAGACAAATTAGTCTCTGGTCTGCCATGCAGTCATGTTACAGGTCAAGTTGCAGCCAGCCATAGGCAAGGATACAGAGTCAGTACTGGCACAGAGTCAGTTACTATCCCAGATCCCTGTTAGAAGAAGAAAAAAAGAAGCAAGTTAAGGAGGCAAGCAGGACAGAAAATTTATCCAAAAATACTTAAATTTGATTTGTAGTAGTTTATTTTTAATTGCACCCTTTCTTTATCTTAGGGGAGCACACGTGATGCCATAGAGTTTATGGAAGGCAGAGGACACCTTGCTGCAGTCAGGGCTCGCCTTCCACCATGTAGGTATTGGGGATTGAACTCACGTCTTCAGGCTTGGTGGCAAGCACCTTTACCTGCTGAACTGTCTTGCTGGTCCCCAAGAAATGATTTAAAACAGTAAGTTTATCAGCACTTGAAGAGGCTTTGTTATTGTTTTTATTGACCCTGACAACATTTCTGACCAAGGCAACTTTGAGAAGGAGGACTTTATTCAGCCTCAATGTGCCAACGTTCTGCCTTCCTCTCCTCTAGACTTATAGTCCAGAGCCCCAGCTAAAGGAACATGCCACCCACATGTGGTCATCCAGGTTGGGCTTTCCTATCTTAATCAACACCCTCACAGACACAGTGGAGGCGTGTCTCCTAGGTGATTCTTAATTCTGTCAGGCAGACAAGCTCAGCCTTCGACCCATGCCTCCTTGTTTGCTCAGCCCAAGCCTGTCTTGACTTTACAGTGTAGGTAAATTTCCAAGCGCGATGATGAAAAGAACTTCACAAGAACTGAGAGGGAGCCTAGCGACTCAGCAGGAGGCTGAAATGAGAGGCTTGGGTGTCTGCTTTCTTTCCACCTTGAAATGCTAGCAGCTAACCACCATTTCCGTCCCTGCTGGGACACAGCCCCTGAAGTACCCACTCGTGCATGTTCAGAATTGTGAAGCTTGGCCTCAAGAGACATTCTACTGGTAAAAGGATTTACAGCCATACAGTAAACACTTGGTGGGAAAAGGGAAGCTTACTACTTTAGTATAAATTCTTAAAGTGCTCTTATGCAAAGATCTCAACTTATAACAACGGGGGTTTGTTTTAAAGATATATTTTTATTTATGTGTATGCCGGTATGAGTGGTTGCCATGTGTGTGCAGAGCCCACAGAGGCCAGAAGAGGGTGTCAGATCCCCTGGAGCTGGAGTCACACACAGGTGGTTGTGACCGGCCTAATACCGGTGCTGGCAAGTGAGCTTTAGCCTCTGGGACAGCAGCAAGCACTCTCTTTTAACTGTTGAACCATCTCCCCAGCTCACTGACTAATTTTCCCTGAATAAAGAGAACCTTCTGTGACACGAGCAAAATGAGTTCAGAATGCCAAAAACTTTTTTTTTCTTTTTTGGTGTTTTGAGACAGGGTTTCTCTGTGTAGCTTTAGAGCCTGTCCTGGAATTCTCTCTGTAGAACAGGCTGACCTAGAACTCAAGGAGATCTACCTGCCTCTGCCTCTGGGCTGGGATTAAAGGTGTGTGCTGCCACCACCTGGATGACTTTTTAAAAAAAGATTTATTTATTATGTATACAGTGTTTTGTCTGCATATGTGCCTGCACGGCAGAAGGGGGCACCAGATCTCATTGTAGATGGTTGTGAGCCATTATGTGGTTGCTGGGAATTGAACTCAGGGCCTCTGAAAGAGCAGGCCATGCTCTTAACCTCTAAACTTTGTAAGTGGATCAGGATCAGTCCCTGAGAACCAGCCTAGGTCAAATGAGCCTGGTCACTAACAATGCACTTTGGTTATGTGACACGTTAACATTAGAGGGGGAGGGTGGAGAAGGGGGAGGGATAGGAAGGTTTTATTTATTCTCCTTTTTATCTTTGCAGGTTTAAGCCCAAAATTTCTTCAAAAGTGAAGCCATAAAGAAACCCATGTCCTTTCCTCCTGTGCTGTTCCTGGCGCATCCTGTTTAGCAAATAGCTGTGTCCTTTAAGAATTCTTTATTTCTGTTGGTGCTGGGGTAGACCCAGGGCTCATGCGTGCCTGGCAGACATTCTGCCCTCCACTAACTCCAAAGCCATGTTTGCCCTCTTTGGTTTTTTTTTGGGGGGGGGAGGGTTTTGTTTGTTTTTTCGAGACAGGGTTTCTCTGTGGCTTTGGAGCCTGTCCTGGAACTAGCTCTGTAGACCAGGTTGGTCTCGAACTCACAGAGATTTGCCTGCCTCTGCCTCCCGAGTGCTGGGATTAAAGGCGTGCGCCACCATCGCCCAGCCTGCACTCTTTGTTTTAAGACAGTATCTCACTATGTTGTCCAGGTTGGATTCGAACTTTCAATACCCCTGCTTTAGCCTCTTGGTACCTGGGATTATAGGCTTGCACGAATAAGCTTGGCTATATTGACTTTGTTGTTTGAAACATAATTTCATGCATCTCGGGTTAGCTGCAAACTGGATAGGAGGTTAAGGATGACCTTGAGTTCTGCCCCACCCCCATCGTCCTGCAGCCACTACTGGAATATTGGGACTGCGGGGGGGGGGGGGGGGGACACACGGACACATCACACCTGCTAATCAGCTTTAAATGGATGAAACGAGTTAGAATTTGGAGATTTGATTTCCTGGATCTGGACCAGGATTCTTCCAGCCACACTGCACACCAGGTGCCTCTCATCAGAATGTGTTTGTTTGAACCAGTTGGACTCAGTCAGTCCCAGCTGTACCCAGGTGCCAGGCACTCAAAATCGGTTCTCCTTTGGCCTCATCTCTTGTGCTTCCCAGCTCCCTTTTTCTTTTTCTTTTCCTTGGAGGGGTATCTTTCTGTTTCCACAAAGCATACCATACCACACCTACCCCTGATGCTGCCTGGCTCTAAGGTAGAGTGCCTGCATTCTGCTGCCACCCACCTCTACACACATGTACACCTGCCCTTTCCCGAACACCCCCTGCAGGCAGGCTTTTGTGGCAGCCATAAGCAAACACGCTGATTCACATCAAGGGAGAGCGACTCCTGTGCCAGGACGTCTCTTCGATTGTTTAAGGCCATCCTGCCCTCTCGGGGAAAGAGGGACGGTTTCTCTTTCTTGCTTTCTTCTCCCAGTTCTAGACGCGTGGACTGAATTTAAACATTTTAGCTTTGTGCGTGGACTCAAGGAATTGGCAGTGGAAGCAACACGTTGGCTTAGCAGGCAAAGGCGCTTGCGGGCAAGCCCGAGGACCGATCAAGAAGGCATGCTGAGTTGTTCTGGTTCTCAGGGAGTTTCTTTCTTAGGGATGTCCTCTAACCCTGGAAGCCGGAAAGAAGGGCTTCACTGAAAACCAGCCTTAACCCCGTGGTTGCAACCAGAATGGCTGTTCCTCAATACTCAAGGACGTCCAGAAAGCTCCCACAAACTGACTTTCAGGCTCTTGGTCCTCTCTGTCTTCCTCTTCGCTCTTTCACTGATGACCCTGACCAGCCCGGGAGCCCTCTAAGTTCCTCCATCACCACTCTCCAGTCTCTAACCAGCCCTCCAGCCTCTGTCCAGACCGTCCTCCCCTCTCCTGCCTCTTCTGGTGGATGTCTCTTCTCGAGGTTTTCAGGGGTCCAGCAGTATCACGGATTTAAAGAGCCCCTCATCCCCGGGGACGGGTGTGGGTCAGGGCCGGCTCTCCCTTATGCGGCCGCCAGGGGGCGGCAGGGGCGGCTGGAGGTGACAGCGGGAGGCCGCGCGGGAGGGCAGGGCGCACGGACCGCGCTCTCCGGCCGCAGACTCCGCGCCTGAATCGTGCGCGCTGGGCACTCGCTTGCCGCCCGCGCACCCGACTCACCGGGGCGCAGCGGGAGCCCGTGCGGGGCAAGCGGCCGTCCATGCGGCGGCGCTCGGGAAGCACGCGGAGCTGAGGAGGCTGACGCTCCGGAATAGCTCCAGGTGAGCAGATCGCGCAGTCCGGCCCGCCGTTCGCCGGAGCCCGGGGCAGCCACGCAACCTGGCACGCGTGGGTCTGTCGGGGCCCATGGTCGCTCGGATCGTTGTACCTGCTTCTTCCCTTCTCTTCCCGTCCTCTTCTCCTTCCTTCCCACTTCCCCTTCTTCTTCCCTTTCCCTTTCTCTTCTATTTCCTCTTCTTCTCTTTCCCTTCCTCTTTCCGTTCTTTTCCCCTCCTTTCATCTTCCCCTTCTCCCTCTTTCCCTTTACTCTGCATCTTCTCTTTCCTTTTCACCTTCCACTCCCCTCCTCATCCTTTCTCTTCCCGTTTCCTGGAGGCCTGTTTTGCCCTTACTCCCCCTTAACTCCAGAGCCAGGCCACCTGGGGTGGGGGAAGTAGCGAAGTAGCCCTTTTGAGGTCTGTTCAGCTCAGAGGGGGAACTCCTGAGTTGCACAGGCTGCGCTTCTACCCCCACCCCAGCCTTGCTTTCCTTTGCTTAGCCTGGAATTGCTGGTGGAGTGTCAGCAGCCCCAAAGCCCCAATCTGGAGCCTCCATCACTTTGGTTTCTAGAAAGCCTCTGACCCCCAGGTCAGGTTAGTCTTTGCAGCCCAGTGTCATTGCTAGCCCAAGTGGACCTGCTGTTTCTGTCAGCCTGGGATACAGCTCATAGAACTGTGGCCCTAATGTGATTGAAGAATTAGCGTTTGGACCAACTTGCTCACCTTGAAGTGGGAGAGATCTAGAAATGAAGTTTCATTTTTCTTAGAAATAACTGCAGCCGTACCTTGGGAAGCTGATTTGAGACACCCACTTAGCATGTGGAATTATGGGTCTAGAGAGACTTTAAGAAGTCCCCCAGCTTTCTGTGCCGTGGAAAGTGCACCCCTCACCTGACAGTGTCTCCCTGTTTTGCAGGCAGTAGGGTGAATTGAAGCCTGATTCTGGGAAGCTGATTGAAGCCCATTAGAATTTGGAGTGAGTGAAATATAGCCCAGAACGCCAAGGAATTATTGTGCCCAACTTCCTTTGCATCTGCAACGCCCAGACAGCAGCTGAGATCTCACACCTTTTAGAGCCACTGTGTTGTCGTGACATCGCTGATGTCTCTGACCTGGCGGAGATGTCAGTGACACAGTTGCTGGGCCTGAGAGGACCTTAACTGGGCCTCTGTGTCCGAAGGAGCAAACATTTTAAAACAAGCTGTCATTTAAATGTAGCCCTACTCAATTCCTATAGATTTTTGTTGGCACCGTAGTTGAATTCCTTTGAAAAATGCAATCCTACCCTGAAAATTAATGCGAGGAAGCAGCCGAGAGTCCCGGGGCTTTCCCATAAACCTCTGCAGGGCTGGAGCTGGGAATTCCCAAAGGTCCAGCCTCGCAGAATGAATGAGTTTGGGTGAGGAGAGCATGAGGAGCCACTGCCGGCACAAGTGATGGCATTGGCCTCACTGTGAGGATGGCAGGGCTCCATGCCCAGCCCAGGGCAGGGCACCATTGCCTCACCCTCACTCGCTGCGCCATGGCGAAGTCTCATGGCCAGGTGTGAAGGGAGAGGAAGGTCAGGGCTTGACGTTTTTGTTTGTTGAGCGATCTTGTCTGTTGCCCACAGAGTTCCTCTCTACCCTTCGCACTGTCCTTCAGGGCATCACTTTTATCCCTATTGGCTGCTGGTATCCGTGTTCAAGTGCCCCCCCCCAGCACCCTTATCCCATCCCCTATATGCAGAGCTCGTTTATCACAAACCCTTCCACATTCTGTCTTTCACGACCTCTCAAACTCTTTTCCTGCCTCTACTTTAAACCATGTCCAAATTACAGTAACAATTGCCCTTCCTGCCTACTAGCCTTGGGTGGCTCTCTTCCTTGTAATCCATCTTCTTTCATGCTGACAGATGAATATTTCTGAAATTCTGACTTCACCACATTGCACGAAATCACAATGGCTCCCCAGTATTCACTTCCATTGGATTTTCCCCCAGCCAATACTTCTGAGCATCCGTTGTGTGCCAGGGATTATTACCAAGTGCTGGGGCTCATACTGAACAAGGATGTATCATTGCCCTCCAAGGGCTGAGAGAAGAGTTGATAAATGACCACCCAGGGAGAGAGAAACACAGAGGGCCCGGGCGGGGGGGGGTGAATGAAAGAATGAATATGAATATCCATGTGCTCGCGTGAGCAGAGCATCCAGGAGACAGGGGAGGGAGAAACTGAGTCCTAGGCACACGTGGCTTTGAAGACCTCAGCCCCTGGTTGCCTTTTGAGCCAGGAATGAGACTGTAGTGACAGATGAGGGTCTGTCACAAATGGCCTTGTTCCACCCCCACCCCCACCCCCTTTCAGACAAGGGTGCTCAACATGTAGCTCAGGTACTGGAACACCGAGATCATGGGTGCTTGCTACCATGCCTGACTTAGTTGTCCTGGCTTATCTGTGTGTGTGTGTGTGTGTGTGTGTGTGTGTGTGTGTGCATATACACACATGCACGTGTGCATTTGCACCACAGAGGCCATAGAATGTCAATCTGAGTCCCAGGGACATGCCTTTTTTTCTGTCCCAGGATTGGTATAAGCATGTATCACTATGCCAGCCTGTCTCTCTCTCTCTCTCTCTCTCTCTCTCTCTCTCTCTCTCTCTCTCTCTCTCTCTTTCTCTCTTTTCTTATTTATATGAGAGGGCCTTAACTTTGACCTAAAGGAGCGAGTGGGGGGATTGTGAGTTCAAGAGAGCCCCCCTTTTGTTGTTGTTTAAGGGGCCTTGGAAAAGAAGTTTTTGAAAGCTCAACACGTCCTTCTTGTCCTCCCTGAAAGCATCTAAGCCCGGCCCTTGCATCCCAAAGTCTGAACAAGTGTGAAGAAGAAAGATCAGAATACCTTGGTTTGAAAACCCCAAGCTGGTGGGGGTACAACACAGGCTGTAATCTTCCAAATAGTGCTGGCCAGGCTAGGCTAGCCACAGGCATGCTTCTTCCCTAGAGTGCTGGCTGACCTATGGCAGATTCTCACTTAACAATTCTTTCTACTTTCCCTTCTCCCACACTTATCTTCACATAGAACAATGGGAAAGGAGGCCTGGAGACTGGTGTGGGTTTGAAGCCTCTTAGGCAAAGCCTGGGCGCAGAGTAGGCGCTCAGTGTCACTTCCCATTTCTCCTGTCTCCTCTGACTGATGAGTGCTGGACACAATGGGCACTCACTAAACCTATTCCAGAAGAAACTTGCATCCAGTCTTAGCCTGTCAGGTGCAGGTTCTGTCTGAAGGACTGCCTGTTATTGCCCTGCACTCCAACCCAGCCATTGAGTACACAGCTGCACTACGGTAATCATCCAGCCGGCATCCCGTCTTCTCTCCACTTCCTGTCCAGTTTCCCCTTGGGTCCTCTAAAGGGCACAAACACCAGGTGGGCAGCGGTTTTTCTCCCTGGCGATTGTCATCTTGGGGAAAGTGGCCACTTTTAGTTTATTTCTCTTTCTTTTCCTAACCCTTTAGTTAAGCAGAAGATGCTTGTGGTCTGGGAGCCTTAAGGATAGCTTAGGTGGAAGATAGGCAGTATTCTCCCTCTGCTTGGGTGTGGTCCCTGGAGTCCTGAGCCAGGCTTGTGCCTCTGTGTCTTGTCTCCGGGAAGGTGGTACTGGCCGGCTCCCAGGCACCCTCCCAGGCCCCTTGGCAGGCTGCCTGAGGTCTGACCAGCAGGGAAGACAGAGGTAATGAGTGATTAATGGGTGCCTCATCTAATCTCCTGCCAGGGGAAATGAAGGACCAGTCATGGGCTGGAGGCTGGTCTTGACCTGCTCCAGGTGGGCTTGGAATGCACCCAGCTCAGGATGGGGATTAAGGCTTGAAAGACAAGAGGAAATGAGATGTTAACCCTTTAGCTGTGGCCCTCCGACTCCTAGCCGGGAAATGGCAGGGGAATTATCTGCAGGCATCTGATGAAAAGCTGGGCATCGCCTTTGATTTACGGCAGGGATGCAGCCACGCGTCTGACTACTGTGGGGATGGTTGTGGGCCTTGACTTGTGATCATTTTCTTTGAGGTGAGATCATGAGAGAGATGATTAATCTCTGCTGCCTGGGGCTGCATCAGTTTCTGGGAGACTGCCTCCTTGCCTCCTAGGAAAGCCGCTGATGCTATCAGCAAGTGGCAAATTTGCAGTTACTAAGCTTGCTTTTTCTTTCCTCCTGAAGGGGGGGGGGGTTCCTCCAGCAGCCTGTCATTTCCAGGAAGATAAACAAAGAAGGCATTTGCCTCCAGGCTAGATACCACCTCTCTGTGATGGAGTCCCGTCCACTCCTGTGTTAGCAATCAGCAGCCTGTGTGTGTGTGGAGAACAGAAGGTGACAGCTCTCCAGAGCCAGCTCAGAGTCCCAGTCTGGGTCTCAGCACGCTGTCGGCTTCAGACAAGGCTCTTAACTACTCTGTTGTCGTTTTCCCGCCTTTAAAGTGGGTGTCATAACAGTGCAGTATACAGCATAGGGAGAGTTGTGACATCATTAGATGTCAGCAGTCCCGGGCTCCTATCCAGGCCATTTCCGTCTTAGCTGTCTTTCTTCTCACCTACCCCACACCACCCTTCCTCAGGACAGAAGCCGCTCCTCCACTCCTCCGCCTCCGGGACTCACTTCTGTGAAGTGACTTAACTCTTTGATTGATTTGGCTTGTTTGACCCCTGACCCCGCATGCTTTAAATTCTGGTTCCACCCTCTGTTGCTGGCCCCATGGCCTCCTGCTGCCCTTTTGATTAGACCTCCAGCCCCTTGCCCTCTGCCTCCTTGCTAGCTGGACAGAATGCTGGTGATCTGGATAGTGATGTCAGCCTGGACCTCTGGTGGCCTACAACCGGTTCTGCTCCCCTCTGCTCATTGCTAGTTTGCTATGACCCAGGAGCCCCAGGCCAAGTGGATGAGAGTAGAAAAGATTGCAAAAAATCAGGAATTGTGGAAATCCATCTGGCCAGGATGCAAACCCAAGCACCGCCCCCTGTTCTGGCTTCCCCTGAGCT